TGGTTCTCTTTATGGAAAGTGGGACTGGAGTCTCCCTCTTTCTTTTCTCTTCTTTTTTTTTTTTTGAAGTATAGTCAGTTTTCTATGTGTCAATTTCTGGTGTCCAGCATGTTTCAGTCATACATATAAATACATATATTCATTTTCGTATTCCTTTTCATTATAGGTTACTACAAGATATTGAATATAGTTCCCTGTGCTGCACAGAAGATCCTGGGCTAGGATGCATGAATCCAGCCTCGGGTATTTAACCTCCTCGCACTGTGGCTGGGACTCTCAGCATCCCCGTTTTAGATGAGGAAGCTGAGGCCCAGAGGCTTTGAGCCCAAGATCACCCACCTTGGAACCCAGACTGTGTAACTGCCTTTGGCCTCTTTTCTCCAGTGAGCTCGGCCACTGTCTTCCTGAGAAACGCCAGTGCCTTTCTCCTTACCAGACACCCAGGGGAAGGTGTCCTGTGCCTGCTGGAAGGGGAACCAGGTTGGGTGATCTCTGTCCACTTCCAGACCTCTTAACCTCAGTTGCCCCATCAATAAAATGGGCTGGTCAGACTCCCCGCCAGGCTTTACCCGGCAGGACCTTTGCAAAGCTCTGGGAGGTGCCTGTGTTCACATGCTTTGCAAATCATTCAGATGGAGAATTGTGACTGTTCCCATCCCCTCAAGTGGCTGCAGTGAGTCCTCACCTGGCGGGATATGAAGCCAGGAACAAAACCTTCTTTTATTTTTCTCAGTCCTGGACCTTGTGTCCACTTGGGCTTCTCAAGGCTGGATGAGCCTGGCCCCTCACTCCACCCCTCCCTCCGGCCCCTGAAACGTGGGGGCACCTGAGGGGACTCAGCTAGGGAAGAATCTGATTGAGACCCCCGGCTGTGGCTCTGCTGCCCGAGCCGGTGACCCCCTCCCCACGAGCGCTGCAGCCGGAGTGCCCTAATTGCTGTCACAGATGTGCCAGCCACCAGCCTCTCCCGCGCGATCTGCTGTGTCGCGTGAGCTTAATTAGTCCCTGATTACTCATTTACTGGGTGCTGTGTGTATTCCATATCTAATAACTTTCCAATTACGCCCGGGCCGCACTGCACATTTAATAACCCGTCGTTGTCTGTCTTTCGGGGCCTCTGTATTTGGCAGCTCCATCTCCCCCTGACCCGGCGCCTTATCGTTCTCTTTATTGTAGTATTTGGAGTTCTCCGCTTGCCATTACGGGGCTATTACAGGGAATTAAGGGGCATGAAATGCTGTTTTTCGGCCTCTGACGCACCAGCTTGTAGTGTGGAACAGGAAATGTTACCAGAGGGGGTCGAACACATCTTTGTGGGTGGGTTCTCGTGGGGGCCCGGAAACGGGGAGGAGGGGGCCTGTGCAGGGCTGGCCCGAGTCCTGATTTCTCGTCTTGACAGACGGCGCCAGGCCTGGACCCACGTGTCCCCAGCAGGTGGCAGAGGTCTCTGGCCAGCCCAGGAGGTAACCCCCTAGGCCGTGCCCACCCAACCTCCAGCCAAGGCAGGCAGCCGGCCATGGCTGCTTGGGAGGGAGGTGGCTTTTGTCCCCGAACTTGGCTTCCTGCCTGTGTCCGATTTATCCTCAGGGCAGAGGGCAGGCGATGCTGTGTCCTCTGGTGCCATCAGGACGCTGGCGTCTCCTCCCCCCTCTGCTGCAGCTCGGTTTTGTCTCTTCCTCCCTCCTTGCTCTTGAGGTAAATCAGTCACCACCCATCAGCAAACCCACTGCCCCTTTCGTACGGCCTAACCCTTCGTGCCGGAGACCACAGTCCAGTCACTGTGTGTCTGCTGAGGCAGCGAGTACAGAAGCCAGGCCCTGCTGGTGCTCAGTGAGCACCTACTAGGGGGTGAGCACCTACCGGGTGCCGGCGCAGTGGGGGCTGGGTACCTGACAGACGACTGGCCTGGGTTCTCAGCTCTGTGATGCTGCCAATTCCCAGGATCCCCAGGCAGGGAGCAGTGTACGTCCCAGGCCTGGTCCTAATGGCACTGTAAGACGAGCTGTGAGCTTGGAACACTTGGCACTGGTAGAGACTACATTGGTTCAAGAGCCTGCTTTTTATTAGTCAGGAATTGTCGTAAATTTGGCCTTGAAGGGTGAGGAAAGGCGGCTCTCTGCCTCTGTGTGATGGTCTGGCTTAGAACCTTTGCCTCCACCTAAGATGCGGCCAGCATGAGATAATCCAGATTCAGCACACCACATGTGTCTGGCGGCCTCCCCCGTCCATTAATAGTGACTGAGCCCCCAGGAGTCCCAGGCAGCTGCTGACAAACGCCAGAGAAGGGGCTAGAGTCCTTTGACTTCCAAGGAGAGTCAGCGTAGGGGAACGGCTAGACCAGTACAGGGAGGGTCTCTGGCACACGGAGGTGCCAGGGAGCATGTATTTCTGGGCAAGCCTTGTTCTAGAGCTTTTTGATTGTATTAGTTATTTACTGCTGCGTAAGAAAGGACTACAGGTAACCAGCCCACAGCAACACACATATGACCACCCCCTCAGCGGGGTCTCCTGCCAAGGGTCCCACAGGCTGCCGGTCCAGCATCAGCAGGACTGCACCCTCAACTGGAGGCTTGCCTAGGGGGAGCCCACCTCCAAGCTCACTATGGGCAGGATTCATTTGTCTGTGAGCTGCGGGCTGCTGCGAACATTCAGGTGCAAGTTTTTGCGTGGACCCACGTTTTCGGTTCTCTGGGATATCTACCTAGGAGTGGAATTACTGCGTCATAGGATGACTCTGTGTTTGACCCTTGAGGGACTTCCAGGCCATCCGCAAGTCCACTGCACCATTTACAATCCCACCAGCAGTGCATGAGGGCTTGCTTAGTGTTTCAACCCTTAATAATCATGAGAATGCAGCTGTTAAAAACGGATTCCCAGCTTTCTCCGGAAATGTCGGACCTGACAGGATGGGGCTGGCTTCCCTCCCTGTTGGGAGGCCGGTGCTGGGTGGGACTGGGGCAGTTCCCCTCGTCTCGTCTACCCAGGTCCTCGTTTACAGTTTACCCTCCTGGCTTCCATGGGGGTATGTGTTGGAATCTCTCATCCTTCCTGTCCCCCCTCCCTTTCAAAGCCTGCTCCTCCTGAAGGCCGAGTTCAAATTCCACCTGCTCCGGGAAGCCTGCCTGGATTTCCTAGCCCTTGGGGGATTTCTTCCATCCTCAGACTCCTTTGTGCTTGTCTTCTGCACCCCCTCCCACTCAGTAGCATTCTCTTTTGCCATCTGCTGTTCTCCACTTAAGAGCTATGTCCTCTAGTTGCTTCGTAACAGCAGTCTTCTCCCAACTGCCTAAGTTTGAATCCCAGCCCCTCCAATTACTGTGAGAGCTCGGGCTGCTTTGCCTCTTTGTGTTTCCATGTTTTTGTTTGAGACAGGACTGCTGGGAGGATTAACCGTGGCACATGGCAGGTGCTCAGTAAACGACATTCTCGTGCTCACAGCTCCCCATCCGGGAAGCCATCCCCACCCCCATGAGGCGTCTCCTAGCCACCTTCCCCCTGCAGGCCCCTGGAGGACAAGCAGGAGGTGGGCCTCACCCCCTCTCTCCTGTCCACCAGCCCGTGAGCAGGGTCAAGGCTGGGGCACAGTGCTGCCCTACCCCGCTCCCCGCCAGCCCGCCCCCAGGGGGTTGCAAGAACGCCTCCTGGTGACCAGGTGCCACCCCATAGACAGTCCCTGGGGGTGGCTGGACAAGTCAGCCTGTGACTAGTGTGGGACCCAGCAGCCCTACGTCTGGCAGTTTTCTGAAGAGATGGGGGCAGCTGCACGAGCAGCTGAAACCCGACGGGGAGGGATCTGTGGGCTCTAAGGTCCCCCACGTGCTGATGGGCCCCCAACCCTAATCTACCCAGTGAGTGAGTGAAGTGAGCTGGACCCGGGCGCCGCCTCCTCCTGCCCCCGCTGAAGCTGAAGCCGCCAGCACCCCTGAGGGATTTGCGGGGGCTGCGGTCTGGGCAGTGTCAACATATGGATCCCATAAATTAAAGTGTTTCCGGAAACAAACAGTAGATTTATCTGTCTCTCCCATGTGGGGCTGGGGGAGCCTGGATGGAGGGCCATCCATCTCTCTCGGGCACTTTGGTTTTAAAGCACTAACCCCGGAATAAACAGGATCAACATGAAGTTGCTTTTGCACAGCCAAGAGGGACCGGAACTTGTGATTGTGGAGCTGGGGGTTGCCAGTCCCCAGGACTGGTCGCCAGGGAACTGGAGCCCTAGGAGGGGCTTCCCCCGACGTCCCGCCCAGGCCCTGAGGTCAGAGGTGTGGGCCCAGGGTGGGGAGCCCTGCTGACCTGGGTTGACCCTGCCTTGGTGTCTGGCCTGTGACGTGAGGCTCCTCCCGCCCCCTCTGAGCCTCACTTTCCGCATCCGTGGAAAGAGGCTGGGAGACCAGGATGGCCACAGTCACCGAGACAGAAAGTAGGAAGGCGGTGCCCGGGGTGGGTGAAGGGGTGTGGAGCTAGTGGTGAATGTTATGGGGTTGCCATTTGGGACGATGAGAAAGTTCTGGAAATAGATACACATGGTGACTGGACCTGATGCCACTGAGCTGAACACTTGAAAATGGTCAAGATGGTAAATTTGATGTTACGTGTATTTTACTACAATTTAAAACCCTAAGACAAAGCGGGAAGTGCAGATGGAGTGACTGCCCTGCATGGTGAACTGAAGACTAGCTCGGCTAATCGTTACAGTTGTAACTAACTAGTAGGTAACCGTTACAGACTTCCGTGCAGAGCTGAGGGGCTCAGGCAGCGATGGGACCCAGGGGGAGAGCCCCAGTGCCTGGTGGCCGGCCTGTGTCCCCAGGCAGGGTTTGCTGGGTGAGTTGGCCTTCTGGGACCAGCTCTGCCGCTGCCCTGAGCCGGCCACGCTGAGTCGCTGATGACAACGCCAGGCCTTCGCTGGGGAGGGGCGGCCCAGCGGCCCAGAGGGCCCAGCCACTGGGCACCTCCAGGCAGGCGTGGCCAAAACTTACCATGTCCCCCTCCTGTCCTTCCAGGTCACCTCTGTATCTCTTGAGGCGTCAGCGGCCATCCACCCTCCTGCCCGGGAGCTTGAGCCCCGGCCAAACACCCCAGCAGAGAGCCTGCCCAGGGGCCCCCGGACCGCCCAGGAGCAGGGGCCAGCCCGGTGTCAGCACAGCAGCCAGGACGGGGCTGGACCGGACCTCACCAGCACAGGTAGGTGCCGGCTTGTTACTATGCCTGGGTACTAGAGCGGATCAGGCCGCCCCAGCAGTGAGGGGTCCCCAAAGCCAGTTCGGACGCAGACTCCCACCCCACGGTCGCTGCATTCTAGGGGAGAGCCAGGAAGCTAAGTCTCCCTCCCTTACCCGAGTCTGAATTTTTTTTCATGCTTCTCAGGAATTAAACTAAACTGTGGTTTCACCAGAATTCCTGCTTCTTGACACTCTCTCATCCTCAATTCACAAATCGCCTTGTTGTATTTTTTTTAATCTCTGTGTGCATCATATTCATTCATTCATTTAAAAAATAATGTCAGGGGAGGGTATAGCTCAGTGGTAGATAATAATAATTTAAATAACTAAATAAATAAATCCAATTACCTTCCACCCCCCCAAAAAATTAAAAATAATTTAAAAAATAATGTAATGGATCTCCATGAACCGCTATCCAACCCAAGCCCCAAATCGCTCCATCCACCTGGATGCCCCACCCCACAGAGGGATCCGTGTCTCCCATTTGCTCTTCTGTCACACCTGTGTTTGCCTGAACACCCCATCGCCTGGTTTCTGGGGGGCTGAGCTTTGAGCTTTGTCTTCTGGGCCTGGCTCAGCACTGCAAGGTCCGTCTGTTGTCACAGCTGCCACAGCGCTTGGTTCTGCCGCCGCGTGCTGTGCGAGGTGCAGCTCTGCCCGTGCGGGTACCCGCTCTCCTGCCGTGTGGGTGCCCCGCACACGGCTCTCGGTGTTAACCTTACCCTGGCCGGGGGGACAAAGGTGTACGACCGTTCTCCAGGGTGGGCATTTACAGCCCCCCTGACCCCAGCCACAGAGACCCCGTCCGCCTGTCTCGGCCCCGTGGGACTCATCACTTCCTCCATGATGGAGAGGCTGGCCCCCTCCTTGGTTGTTGGGCCCGTGAGTGTGAGAGTGGAGCTCCAAGGTGTTTATGGTGGGCCATATGGGCCCTGGGCTGGGAGCAGTGTGTGGACACCTGCGTTATTACCTAGGGAGGGTCGGGGAGCAGCCCCGTAGGCCAAGACCCCTCAGAGTGGGTCCCTGTGTGTATCTTGCCCCCATCACTGTCCCTGAGAGTCCCAAGACCCTCCTGGTGCCAGCCCTCTGCAGGGGCAGCTGGCAGAAAACACTGCTTATTAGTGAGAGGGCCTGGAGCCAGCAGGTAGGGGGAGTGAGTGATGGAGATGGGGGCAGCTGCACTCCCCCTGCCCCCAGTCCTCAGGTCCTGGGCGTCCATCTGGGGCATCCATCTCCAGGGAAACAGCAGTATTCACCTCTTTCTCTCTGCAATGTGGACTCGGGAAGGGAAAGGGCTGGCCAGGGATGGAGCTGGCTGACCAGGGGCTGTTGGGCCACCCGGCCCTCTGAGGGGCTTCCAGACCCAAGCAGATGGGGACGGGGTGTCAGGGAGCAAAGGGGACATGCGGGTGGTGGGCAGGGATGCCCCCAGCACACTCAGAGCCTGGGACAAGTGACTTCTTGCTTTGTGCCTTGGTGTCCTCATCTGAGGGATGGAAATGAAGGCTAACGAGAGACCCCGGCCCGCGGGGCAGGCGTGAGGACTGAGTGCCTGGAGAGGAGCCCCTTCCTCGCAGGCCCCGGCCCCTCCCCCGCCCTGCCTGAGTGCTTATAGTTCCGGCTGGCGTCAGCGCTATTGTTTGTAACTGCTAGTCACCCAGCAAGGTGCCTCCTCCAGGCAGCAAGGGGATCCCTGAGGCTGTTCTCCTGATCCACCTCCTTCACCCCGGCTGTCCCTCAGCCCTGGGTAATAACCTGCAAACCCGTGACCCTCGGGGACCCTCCCTTGCCCCAGTTGGCACATGGGAGGCCCTGCCCCCTGCCCTAGGGCCACCCGGGGCAGGGCAGTGGCACAAGACCCACGTCTGCCAGCTGCTCCCTGTCAGGCCCCCTGAGGAGGGGGGTGGAATGCAGCTCCACAGCTGGAGACCTGCCAGGAGCACCATCCCGCAGTCAGGCCCTTCCCGGGGAGGCTGCCGCTGCTGCGTGGAAACGTGACAGTGACTAATGGTTTATTACACACCTGCCACCTCTCATCGGGCGGGCGGGTACAGCCCCCGGGGCCAGCTGCGCACTGCCAGCTGGATGGCGGGGCGGGAGCAGCGGGGCAGCACTCACAGACACATGGACATGCACGGGCTCAGGGACACTCAGGACAAACAGACGGGGGAACACATGACACACAGGGTACCTGTGCCGAGGAACACGCAGACACGCACATACAGACACGCGTGCACAGATGGGCCCCGGGACACTCTAACATGTGCACACAAACACACGTCGCAGACAAACACCTGGGAACACAATATATGTGTGCACACATGCTCCCCCCCGCGCACACGTGCACACAGCCCAGTCGCTCCCCCTCTCTAGAGCTCTGAACCCCCTCCCGCTCCCTGTGTGGGAACGTTCACCCCAGCGCTGGCTGGGGCAGGGGCCTTTCCCAGAAGGGCAGGTGGTCACGGGCAGTGATGCCTGGAGGGACAACTACCCATTGTAGTCCATTTCTGACTGCCAGTTCCCTGCAGACCTCTGGAGTGTAGGGACAGCAGCCTTCACCATGTGATGGAAGCTGTCACACCAGCAGCCCTTGTGCCGGGCTGGGTGACTGGGTCAGCTCCCCCGGAGACACACATGATCATCCTCGGTTCCTCCCAGGGGAGGCAGCTGTGTGGTTCTTGGGCACCGCATTTGGAGAGCCCACCTGGGGAGTAGTCACTTGCTGGCTGCAGGGAGAACAGCTCCAGGGCTGCAGGGGAACCAGGGACCCCCAGAGCTGGGAGGCGTCTGGCAAGTGAGGCCTGAACCTTGGACTGACCGAGCTGCTGGGAGAAGAGCACAACCCCAACCACACCAGAGGCAGCCTTCCCTAGTTGGTGGCAAGCCTCTAGGTCCAGCTCTTCCCGATATTCTTAAGCCTTTAGTCAAAGGAGGATCCATTTTTCACGTGCCGCTAGCAGGCAGTATAAAACCTGGCGAGAGGACACTCCTAATTCATCACCAGCTGCTGGGGACAGGCATTCCTAAACAATTATCTGTGCGCCGTCACAGCCTCCTTGGGAGAGAAGCAGCACCATCTGGTGATAAGTGAGGGTGTGGCTTGGTGTCCTAGACCCAAGTCCAAGTTTCTAAGTCTCAACACTGCAACTTCCCAGCCATGGAGTCTTTGCAAGTTTCAGAATCTTCCCAAAGCTTGGTTGCTCCAGCTGCCGAGTAGGTGTGAGAACAAAAGAAGTCTTCCTTGTAGCATAGTGTCAGTGGCTTGGGAGGAACACCAAGGGGGCACCCAGGGCTGCAGTGCAGGGCTGTGCAGGTCACACACTGCACAACTCCAGGGAGTGCCATGCTGGCTGTAGTCTCTGTGACTGTGCTCCCTGCGTGGCCACCAGGAGGACTGTGTTGCGCAGCTGAGCAGCTGCCCTGGAGTTCTGCCACATGGGCCCTAGACGTCCCTTCTGAGGTGTGGAATGGCTTCTAAAGTGGTTAATAATATTCACTAGTAGAGACAGTGGAAGCTGCGACCCCCCTGATGGGTTGGGATGGGGTCACCAGAAGCCAGGCCAAGACTGATTCTCCAGGTGTGGCTGTGTTCCTGGGGCTCCTCCCTCTCTCCCTGGCCATGTTGGGGTGCTGGCGTGAGCCACCCCTGCTGGGGGTGGTCTTTGCCTTCCTGCTGTCCTAGCTGCCACAGCTCTGCTCCCGCCCAGAACGCCTCCCTTCTCGTTAGTGCTTGTTCCAGGATCCTGGGGACCGCTGGCCCAGTGGGGGGGGAAAGGAGGAGCGGGGCTGGCAGGGTGGGGTAGGAGCGGGCAGGAGGAGGCACAGTGCATCTTCCCTTTCCCTTCTGAGCCGGCCCAGAAGGTCCATCCTGTTGCCTGCTCTTGTCGCCACCATAGCAGCAGCTACCTTGGAAGAGTTGGGTGTTAGCTCTCGCTGCTGCCGTAACAGATTATCAGTGGCTTAAAACGACACACTTTTAGTATCTTATTGTCCCAGAGGCCGAAGTCTAACTGGGCTAAAATTGAGATGTGGGCAGAGCTGCATTCCCTCTGGGGGCTCTAGGGGAGATTCCGTTTCCTGGCCTTTTCCAGTTTCTGGAGGCGCCCACGTTCCTTGGCTTGTGGCCCCTTCCTCCATCTTCAAAGCCAGCAGCGTTGCCTCGCCCTGCCCCGCTCCTGCAGGCACAGCGCCTCTGTCTCTTTCCTATCTCTTCCTGCCACTTGTGATTCTGGGGGCCCACCTGGACAATCCAGGAGACTGTCTCATTGCCAGGTCAGCTGGTTAGCAAACTTCGTTTCCCTTTGCCAAGTAAGGGAGCATCACCCCTGGTTCCAGGGATTAGGACCTGGATATATTTCATGGCCATTGTTGTGCTGACCGCAGAATCCCTGATAAAGCCAGTTGCATTAGTCAGGGCAAGCACTGCCAGGTACTGTAACAGGGAGCCCCATGCCCACTGTGGTTCCTGGTTGGGTGACACAAGGTCTCCAGTTCCCTTTAGCCTGTTGTTCTGCCAGCATGTGGCTTACAGAGTTTCCTGATTCCATCACTGGCAGACACAGGGGAGAAAGCCACTGGACACTCCCACACCTTGGCCTTGAGGTGGCTTGTGTCCTTCCATGGGCCTCACCAGGATCGAAGGGCGCTGGCTAGTGACAACTGTCCACTGCAGGAGGGGCCAGGCATGGTGAAGGATTGGCCGGCCACCTCTACCCGGCCGCCCATCCCACTGGGTGGTTCATCCACAGCTCCCTGAGCTCCGAGAATGTGGATCTGAGTCTGTCCTGCTGCCCTTGGACACCGTCCCCCACCCTGGTCCCTGTGTGCTTTGGGGAAGGATTGGGACTTCTCATCCCCTGCAGGGGTGGGAGCATGAAGCCCAGCCCCTCAGCTTCCAGCAAAAGAGCAACTTACCATCCGGGGCTCCCCTGGGCCGGGCTGGGGCTTTACCTGGAGTGGCCC